GCACTGGCTTTACTATCTATCGTCGTCTCCCCGCGATAGATGGGGCGTGTCGTCTGCAAAGTCTGTAGACGCGCGTATTTCGTAAGGTATTAGCCATGGCGTGGCATGTATATATAGTCGTCCTCCCCCCACTAGACACCTAGTGGAGGAATTTGAATTTGAATCAGAGCACACAGGTTGCAGCGGAGCGCGCCACCTGCAGCCCTTACTTCAATCACAAATTGATTTTTTTGTGTTTTTCCGACGATTCATTGTACTTTTTGAATGTTAACAGTTTTTTTCAATCAGAATAGAAAACTTTGTTGCCTGTAATCGAAATTTCATGCTGTTATGCTCGTTTCAATTCTGACTCCAGGTTGAGTTTGAAGAAACGACTAAGTTTGGAAAGTATGCTAGTGAAATCTTTTTCGGTAAGTGTCCTGAAGCTGCTCCATAGAACTTCTTGTCCAAAGACTGTAACCTTACCTGAAAATGGGGCTGAAGAAATGAGCATAGAAGTATGAAACATTTGATCAACAACAAACTCGTCGACTGTGATTTGAAAGGGTGACTAAAACCAAAAAGAATCACCATGCAACGACGAGAAAACACAAAATAATACTCCATGAACTTAAAATGAATGTAACTGTGCCGCGCTCTGCCGCGATCGGCATGCTCTAGTTCAAATTCAAACTCGTCCACTAGGTGTCTAGTGGGGGAGGACGACTATACATGCCACGTCTAAATACTTGTCAAATCTTCATCATATAACATCAGTTTTCGTACTCTCTAACTGCCAAAAACTGCCACGCACATACCTACGTTGGCAACGTTGGCAAAGCCACGCCGGCTAGCACCGTACGAAACACGCACATCTACGGACTTCGCAGACGACACGCCCCATCTATCGCGGGGAGACGACGATATGTGCCTTACTCATTCTCGTAAAATCATGGCACTGGAACTCATGCCAACTAAACTGAATAAAATGTAAACAATTACTCATTCACAGAGTTTTTTCACGTGAGATCGTTGATTTCGCGTTGAAACTTTTTGCAGGAAGACAAATGCAAATTCGAATAGGTTTTTGACTTGTCATGGCTTGGTAGTCGCCATAAAGGCAACATTCATGAGCTAAATCTCTTTGCGATAATCTTTTCAGAAGCTTGGCTAGAACCTTAGCAAATTGATCATTTACGCAACCAATTCTTTTTGGCGCCGTTTTCGTTATGTAGTGAACTTTTGACCACTAAGTCCATCGCTAAAGTCCACCGCTTGCAATTTGCTTACCAAACACATCCACGACTTCGCAAAAAGTGGTGATACGGACCCAATTTTGCAGGACAGAAGCTAGGTGGATCCGTTTAGCGCAATTTCTGAGGGATCCACTCAACGAAACTACTCGTGCTTCCGCATGTTGACATTTCATGCTGATGGCATGTGCTGTGCAAAATCTGAGCCCAGGAGGTTGGCGGGAACACGCTCTACGAATTTCGTAACAGGAGGACACACACGCACACACCCACAAAAACACGTAAACATAATTAGCCCGTTATTATAAAGTCTTGATAACCAATCACGTCAAAGAAAGAGGTAAAGAGCCACAGTGCAGGCTGATCTTTGCCAGGATTTAAGAAATGCATCTCTGCTGCTGAAACATACCATGTATATATATGAGTGACTGGCGAACGCATGGTGTTTCGTAACTTGTGCATATCGTCAATCGTAACTTAATATGTGAGCCCGCACACAACACGCGGCGATGGACAGCAGCTTTACCAGTAACTACTCAGTGTAACTTTTTGTAGCGTAAAAAACTGTGAAACTGTGTTCTATCAACCAATAAATATCTAATGTAGCGAAAGAAACGGGGAAACAGCGAACATTGAGTGCAACACGCATATTAGATTACAAAGATAAACGTTTTGTCATCACTGCTATTATTGTGGATGGTATGGGACTGTTGATCAGTGTTTGACAGGGCCTAGCTAACTTCGTCATAGGCCCAGTTGAGGTGTTTCTCACTTGACATCGACTGCAACAGGTTCCCTTCTTATTTTCACTAGCCTAGCCACTACTCAGATAATCGCCGGGGGCAGACGGCCATGCGAATTTTTTGCAAGCGGAAAACTCTGGAAAAACACTTTGCTGATTTCTCGCGGTTCGCTTGCAGAAACTTGGAATAAGTTTGGCCAATTTTCAGACGAACGCTCGGAGAATTATCACAGTCTTATAAGGGATAAGTTGCGGCCCAGTGGCCGCATTCTCGCGGACTTTCCGCGAGAATATGCAAAATTGTTGGGGGCCGCACGGTCGTGAAGGACTGCTGCCCAGGGTACCTTCCGCTGAAAGAAGATACCCCAAATTCGGGTAATTAAACCATCGATGACACCTCTGCCACATAGAGTCTAGCCTTTGCTCGGCGTACGCCCGAAACTGCGTAAAAAGAATCCAAGCGCCTGCTGAAAGTTTGGAGAGCGCTCACTGAAAGAGATTATTTGACGAGTGCCTGCAGAAAACTCTATTAGGTCTCATAAGTTTTTTCAATTTTGAATTTTCACCGCAATAAGTCCCATACTTTCCAATTCTGATTAGAATGCAGGGTACCATTCGATAGAGCAAAGCAAGCTCTATAAGGTGACAAGAATGTGCTCACATGCTCACACCAGCTTCAGTACATCACGAATTAGAAGCCATAATCTGAGAATTTCCGGATGCCCCAAAAATTGAAAATTTTTTATATCTTTGTTTAAAGAAGACTTATCGGATCCTTAACTTACTCACGCATATACACTTCACATAAGACATTCACATGTGCCAATGCTGTGTTTGCCTCTATGCTAGAAACCTAAAAACCTAGAAAACTGAAATTTTCTAGGTTTCAAAAAGCGAAAAAATGCTGCACTGTTCTCACATGGATAGGTGTAAACTACAGGCCTTCACAAATACATCGGTGAATTTTCAGCTTCCTAGAAGCGTTAGTTCCCGAGAAATATTGAAGTCAATATAAGATACCCTAGCAAAATGAGCTAAAATCAATATTCCTCGGGAACTAGCGTTTCCAAAAAGCTGAAAATTTACCGATGTATCCTGAAGACCTGTAGCATACACTTAGTTGATGTGAGAACAGTGCAGCATCGCTTTTTTTAAAACCTTGAAAATTCCAGTTTTCTAGGCTTCTAGCACAGAGGCAAACACAGCAGCGGCATACGTGATGTCTTATGTGAGGTGTATATGCTTGAGTAAGTTTAGGATCCGATAAGTCATCTTTGAACAAAGATGAAGAAATTTTCAATTTTTTTGGGCATCCGGAAATTCTCAGGTTATGGCTTCTAATTCGTGATGTGCTGAAGCTGGTGTGAGCACATTCTTGCCTCCTTATAGAGCTTGCTTTGCTCTATCGAATGGTACCCTGCATTCCAATTAGAATTGAGAAGTATGTGACTTGTCGCGGTGGAAAGCCAAAATTGAAGAAACCTATGAGACAACCTAATATTAGGTTGTCTCATAATTAATGCACGTTTTATGAATTTTAATTTCATCAAGATAACTCTTTTCCAAAATCATCTTTCTGAGCGCAATAAAAATCAGTGCAAACAACGAACCTTTGGCTATAAAATGCATGCTTTTGTAGGATCACAGCCACTTTAAGACTTTATAGCCTAAAAAATTCCCGATTTTTTGGAAACCTATGCTTTGAGAAAGCTTAACTTTCGCTTAAATGTACTGGGATCGCGCGGACTTCGCTCATTATATAGCCGATGGTTGGATGTGCAATGGAGTGAAGCTTGAATTTTAGGCATATTTCTGTGAGAAAATTTTGCAAAAGAAACTGGAAGTACCCATTTTTTTTCAGTATTTTGGAAAATCCAAAAAACTGCCTTTTTGGGAATTTTTGAATTTTTTCTCTTCGAAAAGACGATGAAATGTTGCCGTTTTCCTAGCATTAGTTGTGTTAGGTCTACTCTACGTGAACATATCGAAATTTATACGGTCGCTTTTTGCTTGAGATTTTTATGCAGCTTAGATGGGCCTCAGCGATCAGTCAAGTTTGGGACAAGATTTCTCAGCTCTGAGTTCCTCAAAAATCTCATACTGACAAGCGTTTGTAGCACAAAGCTTCGCATCGTTATCAAAGCATCGTTACGCAAATTTTTGAAAAGAATCCGTGTGCTTTTCATGTATTTAGAGCAAGAAGAGTGAAGGGAAAGAATTTCAAAATTTAATCACTTGTCTTTGAAGGCATGGAACTTCGGCTTCAACAAAGATTTGCAAAAACGAAAGCACACTTTAGAAACTAGAGGAATCGGGTTTTTTAGTACTAGCAGTGGCGTACCCAGGATTTCCGCTCGGGGGGGGGGGGAGGGCGACAAAAAATTTTTTCGGATGAAGGTGCGTGGCGTTAGCCACGCACTCCGAAAAAATTTTTGGGGTGCTTCTCAAAATTTTTGCGGGCCCCCAACCCCTAAAATCTGAAAAAAAATTTTACAAGGCTAATTTGAATTTTTGAAAATTTTTAAAAATTATTTTAATTATTTACAAGTAAAAACAAGTCGCTTTCACATTTTTATAACCCATATAAACATCTTTCAAAAATTTCGCGACCCATTCTCGGGGGGGGGGCGCCCCCCCCCTCCCGTCCCCCCTCGGTACGCCACTGCTATAAAGGGTTTTGAGGAAAAATGTTTTTTCTTTGAAGTCCAGCTCTCTTAAGAACAGGTTAGAAAAACGTGCATTAATTATGAGACAACCTAATATATTGCTGCGCGCTGGCAGAAATAAGACAGCAAAGGAAGTACCGCTTGCTGAACGTTTGGCGACGCTCCAAAACTTTGCTGACCGCCTGCAGAAAAGCGCGAGTTAGCGGACCGCCTGCTCCCGGCGATTATCTGAGTAGTCAGGCATGTGTTTAGATAGCCGTCGTACGGTATACATCTGACAATGGGCTACAGAAGGACGAAACCATTGACGAAGATTGAACTTTGAAACCTAATTGTTGGCAAACACATTTCCAAGCTTACCGTAGCATTGTCACAGAGATCTTCCAGCGACTTTCCAGTCAAGATTAGATGATCAAACCTGGAACGCAAAATTAGCATGTGCGCACTTGTAAGCAACTGCTTACTTTCTAATGCATAACTGTACGGAGCAACGGAACCAAACATCTCTCAGGTCAGGAAATTTGAAAGCTGTTGCGTCAGCAAAAGCACGTTGGTGATTATCTGCATATCTAAAATTTCGAAAAATAATAGTGAGTAATGTATCGACTTTCAGTCCTACTACCGAACATCCGAGATCAAAGTAGTATCTGTGCTGCAACCATCTCTGATGATGCCCATGCCTCGCCGATCATGGGTTTCAGCAGTGCAGTCGAGAACTTTTACTCCGTAAAGATCTAGAATAAGTTTCATATCCTAACCTTCACGAAGCATTATTGTGTAAGACATCTCTATAAAATTCTTCTCATATCAATGTGCTCTCTTCTTTGAACCTCGGCATTCAGCTGACTTTGCGATTTTGATTTTGTGCCAGAGGGGACCTTTCCGACACAAAATCAAAATCACAAAGTCTTCTCATACTGATTTTAACCTGCAAATTCCTCAGAAAGGGGACGGTGGCGTAGTGGTATGAGGCGCCGTACGACCAGGTCGGATGCAGATTCGATCCCGCCCCTGGGCCAATAAGCCTCTACCCTCGGAGACGGTAAATTGGAACTAGAGAATTTCTGGGAGGATAAAAGCACTGACTTGATAACCGGCTAGCCCCGCAAGTCATGTAAAAGGTGCCGTAGTTGCCTCTTCGACTATGAAGTAGTGTGCGTGCAATGCATCCCGCAAAGGGTATTGGAAACGCAGAATCCTTTATCCTTTGCTTTATAAATGCTCAGTAGGACAAACTAAGATAGGCTTCTAATCTATTTTGCCGAAATCAGCACTCAGATTAACACATTGACGACCGCTTGACTCCCGTAAAAATGGCTACTAATTTGTGTCAAACCAACTCTGGGAGCTTTGTTTTATGCTGTATTTAAACACAACCTGTACACTCTACTGTTGCCGGCATTCCAGCGCTACTGTATGTGTATTGTAGATGGAATTGTGCGTGATTTTATCTGAAAATCGTCAGCTGGTCCGAGAAGGGCTTTGGTCGTCAATGTGTTAATATATTAGCCAAGTCAACATCCAAGACTACTGAGTCGGGTGATAAAGGTATGTTTTTCAATCATCAAAAAAAATAATATGAGATGGACGCAAGTGCCGCACAACTCCCAGAATTTGCATGTCCTTCTTCAAGAGTGGAATACGGAAACAACTCTCAATTAAAGCACTCCTTAAAGGCAGTGGTTCGGCAAAACTCAACAACTCAAAGTTTTAACGCGGTAGGCTTCTTATCGCCCAAGTATGAAAACAGTGCAATCCCGGTTGCACAGCATGCCTTCCTTGCCGAGAAAATTGCTCTCAAACTTTCACGCGCAGGCCAACCTTACACGCGTCCGGACGAGTTAGCAATTTCCTTCTCACCATTGGAGGCTGCCCGCCGCAATGCTATAATCATTGGGTTCCTGCAACGATTCGTCGCATCAGCCTTGCTCCACTCGTCCAATTCCAAAGGGAAAGGCATTGAAAAACGCTCGTTTTCGGGGTTTCCAAGCACTCAAAAGTGGAATTTCGGGATCAGCGTATTGGATAACCCCAGGTAAGCGAAAATTTGGCTATGTTGAGATTTGCCGAGCCACTGCCTTTAAAGCCAGTACTTTTTCACGAATAGAGGCCTATTTTTCATTCGGAAGAAAAACTATCAGCAAAGGTTCGCCGCAGAACTTTCAGCTTGGTCATCTAAGCGATGAATCCATATTATAACGGAGAATGTGATCAATTTTTTACATGGCTTATCCCTATCGAAAAAACACTAGAATTTGCATTATAATTGGAGTTAGAAAAAACAACAGCAAGAAAAGTCATTTTCCTTGTCTAACTATAACACATCCCATCAATCCTTCTATTTTATGATAACATAGGGGATTTACGACTGATGGGTCTCGCCTGATTTCACACCTGAGCAAACAACGTAACTCTGGCAAAGTGCCGCCACTTTGCTGTCGAATTAATCACGCGTGACAAAAGAACAGTGAATTGGCGCATATGCACTCTAACATTAATACTTTTTCTTCTTATAAACTAAACAAAGCTGAATGTTGTATGCATGTAGTCTCTCAAAATTTTTGCGGACCCATACCCCTAGAATCTAGAAAAAAAAGGCGTATTACAACATTCAATTTTTTTAGAAAAATCTAAAAATCATTTGAATTATTTAGAAGCGTAAGAAGCCACTTGCACATTTTGAGCCATGTAACTTTCAGAAATTTCGCGACTCATTCTCAATCCCGCGGCCCACCCACCCTCCCCCCTCTAACGCCACTAATACATAGTGGTGAAATTTTTGAAAGTTACTTACTTGAAATGAAAAAGTGTGCAAATGCGTTCATACTTGTAAATAACTCCAATAATTTCTGAAAGTTTTTCAAAATCCAAATTAGCCTTGTAAATAGAATTTTTTTAAGGAGCGGTACGACACTGGTATGTATGTGTGTAGGTATGTACTAAATAATTTTTATTTCTGGAATCCAGACCAAACTTTGCACACATACACTTCGAGGAGGAGCGGGTGTCGTAGGCTACTTCTCGATATCTCGATATCGATTTCATTGATTTTTTGCGAAATTTCATTTATGAGGCCTAGAGTTGGCACAAGAGGATAAGTGAGCATGCTGATTACGAAAACATTGAAGGACGGGTAGAACCGGATTTGCCAGCTAGCCTTTAATATAGACCATCTTGAAAAAAAAAACTGCTATCAGAAGATATATATAATGGGGGGGGGGGAGGAAGAACAGGGAGAGAGGGAGAAAATAGAAAGCAAGTTTGAGGCTGTCGTATAAGGATTTTACTACTTGTCGAATAGAAATCTACAGTTATGTTTCCCTCCTTCGATTTTATTTTTGCGTAAAAAGAGCACAAATCTCAAAGATTTCGGTATTGAACGACAAGAGGTCCAGATATCAAGGTCGATGTGTGGGCGATGTTGGTCAAGAAGCGAAATCATCCGCACCTCCTTATAAGTGGATGATGTCGAGCATTTTTTATGAGTGCTAATTTTCTTGAGTGTGGGGGGGGGGGGGGGGGGGGAACTTTTTGAATATAGGCTCATTAAAAAAACGGCAAAGTTGTGAGAGCAAGTTTTGAAAATCTGAGTGAAGCCACTCCCAGTTTGAAGTTTGCCAATACTGAAATCGCTCCTAAAGCTGCATCCACAATTACACATGTGTCAGTTCGTACTTGTTTCATTCCACGCTCAATAAGACTCCAAGTGAACGCTGGCTGGCACGGCGCTAACACGACGCTGTCACGAGCCAAGCTTGACGTACCTAGTAAGTATGGGTTGCAAATTGATTAGTGGCATAAAATTCAGAGCAGGGGATTTACTTCAAAAAAAGGCGTGGCAAAGGGCGGAGCCAGTGCTCCAGGTAAAACAACTCAAGGAAATCACGCTAGACTTTCAGCAGGGTACCACTCTCAAAGTTGCCCGTGTACCTGTACCTTGCCCGTGTGCGTGCTAGCTCCGGGCCATGCCGCTAGTCGATTAATACATAGCCCAAATGGACGCTGGCACGGCGCTAACACGATGCTGGCACGAAAAACTCTTGACCTGATCTAATAAGTTAGCAAAATTTTGAGAAAGGGATCCACTTATCTTAGAGGAAGGCGTGGCAAAGGGCGGAACTAGCGTTTCAAGTAAAACAACTCGAGGATACAAGCTAGCCTTTCAGCAGAGATATCACTTTTCGATGCGAGTTTTTTTTTCCGCTCCCAAAATGCCTCCGGGGACCAGTTCTCGCTCTGTTCAAGATGTTGAAGAAACTTACGTGAATCTGTTTTTGTTTGCCAAATCAACATCAATGGCTCTCCAACACTAACGTATGAAGCAACTTTGGCCCCATTTGGTACTCGTCCATGAACTATGGAAAGTTGTACGGTTGGCACAGAAGACGTTGCACCAAGCACTGCTTTTGGTGTAATATCACTAAAAATATCACTTCGGGCAACTGCCACAAGGACCAAAAAAAGGGGTGGATACCTGATAAAGTCGAATCGTGTTGAGACAGTCAGTTGTTTTTGTTGAAATAGACAATGTACGGCAAATGCACGATCACCAGCTGTCACAAATGATGGATGAAAAGCGAATACAAATACGGAAAAAAGCTCTAATCCAACTGATGGCTGAAAATATCGATTATTCCGAGAGATAATGATTCTGAATTTTCCTTACATTTCTTCGCATATCAATACCACACGAAGCGATTCGATTTAATGACAATTTAAACTCGGGTGTGGTAGAATTGTCTTCGGCTGAGTATACAACATAACAGTCATCAGCTCGTCGTTGATTTTTTATGAATATCTAAAACTGTTTTTTTCCAGAAAAAAAACAGATAATTCGGCAAAATCCAAGTTAGGTAAAAATTCTACCTGCCCTTCAAAAATGTCTTCACTTTCTCCGCGTATTCGAATGGCATCCGGGCCGCAAGTAACTTGTGGTGAACCTGATCAGTACAATTTTTGGTAAGAAAAAACCTTGGAAATAATAAGATTAGCTCGCGAGGACCAGTTTTCGCCAACGGATATGCACAGCAAATCATCAAAGTTTGCTCAAGACTAATTCAAGCTCGCAAATATCTTGCAGCGAGCTCGAACATAGACGGGGACCAGTTTTCGCTTACAATTAATCCCGCAACAAAGTCGAGATCATTTAGGGGTTACTTTTCGCTCGCAATCAATCTAACAGTAAAAGAGAAAACCAACAAAACTAGTAGGGGCTAGTTTTCGCAAGCGATCAATTTTTTAAAAAATTTTCAAAATTCGGGAATAGTTCTAGCAGTGTTGAACTCAAAAAAATTATTGTGGTATACCAAGTAAAGTGCATAAAAGTATCAAAGTCTGTGTGGATTAGCGTTATTGGCATCTATTTTATGTGACCTTTATCTCCCTCCCCCTCCTCCACCTCTCCCCCCCCCCCTCCCTTCCACCCTCTCACCCCATCATTTGGATTCTAGAATTGATTGTTTTTGTAAACATTCAAAAGAATTGCTTCCGCGCTTTCCCTCCCAACCAATGAAAATTTTTAAGGACTGCCACACCCCTCCCCTTCATTTTTGCTCAGTGGGCCAGCGCTAAGTTCCGTTTGGGACCCACAACCTCCTCGTTGCCTAATTGGCTCGTTGGCTTTGAAATACAGTACATTTTGTGCAAGCTCAATGAAGACTGAACGATCTTCATTTCCTTGTTCTCCTCCCCCTCCCCCCCCCCCCCACCTCCTCAAACGAAAACTGCACATCTTAAAAGGACATTTCATCATAACACAGAAAAAATGTTGTATACAACTCACCAATGAGTCGATTGTCCAAAGTCTTTGCATAATAGAGTGAAACCTAAAAATAAACTTTTCATATTTTTAACAGCGGTCGAACCCGGAAATTCTTTGAATTTCACAACTATCTCTTCTTACGGAAAAAGTGGGTCAGATTTCGTTGTACTATGCTAGTTATATGTCGTATGTTTCAGTTTATGACCGCATTTTATTCACGGCCAGGTGCGTTGCTATTCATCCTTGCAATTTGGTCAAGAGTAGCGGCCAAGTTCAAGGTCGATGGATCGGATGCGCGAGGACGAGATGCCATGGAGAGCAAGGTGGACGAGTCTTGCGTGAAAAAAATGGCAAGGTGTACGGATAAACAATTATAATTCGCAGTTACGGTAGTAATTACGCGCGGCGTCGAGACGAGGTCGCGATGTGTGATGAGCATCGCAGAAAAAAACGCGATGTCTTGTCGCGATTGCGGCTCTGCAAAGACGGGGCATTTCTTAGGCAGATGTCCGGGGGGGGGGAGGTCAAATGTTCAAATGGTCTAACGAATAAAATGCAAAAAAAATACAAAAACACCCTGCATCCCTGCAAAAAAGTGCTTTCATATTACAATCGATCCATTTTTAACTTGATGTGTACTGCACACCATGCGCGCCACCTCACGACATTGTTTTGAAGGCTGTCCATTTGAGGAGATTTATTTTTGCTTTTCATTTTTGAATTATGTAGTTACAGTAATAGTGATGATGGCTAAAATGCACTTCGTTCTAATAGGTTGATTTGCAATAAATCAATACCAGCTATGATGAGGAGATCATGACGTCCTGAGCGGAAGTGTAACATATTAAATCGCAATGACTCTTGTATTTCCCATATTTTGAGTTTTTTGAGTACATATCTGATGACCGGGAGCAAATTCGTATCATCTCTGAAAGAATTAAGTTCCTGCGAAAATACGATAGGTATACGGTAAGCGAGTGCTTCCCTCAAACCTGCTAGAACGTTTTGTCTAAAGGCTTAATTTGCTGATTACAAATCTATATACATTTGCTGCGGTGTAACAATGGACTACCGTTTACCTGCCGTATCCTATGGCTTACTGTAGTGAAGTTTAATATATCGAAAGATTTGTCTTGTGAATAAATATCAATTCTGCTTCGTTTCAAAAAAAAGTTGGAATGTTGAAAGGATATGAAGAGAAAAAACTAATTTTTCGCAAAATCACTTCGCTCAAAAGTTCGGATTTTTTACCCCTTACCACTGATTTAATCTGGTAATGCAGATGAGAATTTCGGGCAACCCTCCTTCTCTTCCATCATTCCATTCTTTTTCAAAACTTCCGAAATTTCAAGCGACTTTTGATGGGGAGTAGATTTGCAGAGCTTCATCAGAACAGAAATGAATAAACAGAAACTTCAAAAAACAAAAAAAAATAAAAACTTTTAAATTTAAAGAAAAAATGAATTAAATCAAATTAATTGAATTAAAATGAATAATAAAAATAATAGTAATTACTTAATCAAATAGTCATAAATAAACAAATAATTAAATGAGTAATAAATGATAATAATTGATTAATAAATTGAAAATCAAATCAGTCAAATTGAGCTACTTAAATTTAATCGAATAAAAAATACGATAAATAAAAAGCATCAAAAATAATCATAAAGTCTTGCTATCAGAGCTTTCGACTTTCTGTTCAGTATTAGATCTGCGTTAAGCAAAAAGATTCGATTATACTATATAACGCGGGAAAAACTTTTTAGAATCTTGATTTTATACTACTTTCAAAGACTATTCTTTTATTGCAATCTCCTTGATTTCACTACATTTTAAAACACATTTTCTGGAAAAGACTGAGATGATTATCCTAGAACATTATAGCCTCAGTTCTCATGGGTTATAACTAATTTTAATTTCCTGATTCTACCAAAATACTTTAAAAGTGACGCTAAGAGATTGCTAAAGTCTTGGCAAGAAAAGGAAATATTTGGAAAATTTTTCTTTTTATTAACACAAGAAATTTTTGGGTAAAATTTATGTGACGGAATTAATGATTTATTTCACTAATCCCTATCCCCATATCAATGCCAGTAAATCGCCATCCGTTGATTTCTAACTCTGTCGACGATGTCCGACGTTTTGCACATAAGAAGTGCATGGCAATGACCGAAATTCCGACACAAAGGGCGAGAATTTTGATGCCAAACTTGTCAATATCAATAACAAATTATCTTGATGGAAATCTCTCTGAAAAATCAAATTGTGCAAGTTTTCAATTCAATTAGTAGAATTTTTTGATAAGTGATTGGTACTAGCACATGCGAATGTCAACATCGTGGAAAATTGCTCCAAGACCCCTCAGAATAGCTCCAATAAAAAGCCTTTCTTGTCAGTCGAAGACTTCCGACTGGCGCGACATTCGATTTTCTTGCCAGGACTTTTTCTCCGCGCATATCTTACCTCGTGGATTTATGGGTGTCGCATGACCTTTATCGACACCCGAGAAATTAGTATTGCATATAATTGTTAGTTTGAAGAGTTCTAGAGCGCCATTTGATTGGAGTAGGTTCGCGTGAGTTCTACTTCTTATAAGCCCCCCCCCCTCCCTACCTGTTTCGCGAAGTTATCGAAAGTAGCCTACACGGGTTATAGAACTGTTCAAGTGAATTGTCTCTTGGTCCATTGCTTTTCAAGAGTTCAAATTAGCCTTGAAAAAAAAATTTGCGGATACAACCAGCCACGCCTCTTTTCCGTCATGGTATGAGCCCGTAAGGACTCAAAAGCATTTCAAAATATTAGGTTGGCTAGAAAATAATTTCGTTTTGGCGTCAAAACCTTCATAAGAACTTTTCCAGTGTTTTTTAACCATGATTTTTGTGGAGAATTAGCTTAAAGCTTCTTCTACCACATATCAGCTATTCAAAATCATCAGTTATCAGCAAGGGAGACAGTTATGCCCTAACATGGCTAAAATTCCAAAGGCTCAATTCTACAACTTTCTAAGCTCCGTTTTCATGCTCTGAAGGACGTAAAGAACGGCAAATTGGATACAGACAAGTTTCCCATTTGGTGAATATCAATGATAATTGTGATCTGCCATTTTAAAATTCTTTATCCGAAAAGACGAAATTTTCTCATATTTGTGTACAATAATAAAACTGCGATACCTGCGGGTTTCTTTCATTGCAAGATAAACTCTACTCAAGCGGATTCTGAGATTTTCGGAAGGCGTGGCTAACTTCCTCCTTTATTTAGACATTATTTCTGCTCCCCCCCTCTCATTCTAACGAGGCTCTTCGGATTCGCGGAACATTCGTGGAACCTACGTTGACTTCATGTGGACCTTGTTGTTCAGGAACATATATTCAATACCCTAACTTTTCTAATAAAAGGTAAACGAGCTCAATAAGATGCATACTATTCTGCAAGAATTAAAAAAAAGAAAATATACGTTCCAGTCAACTTGCACTTTGACGCTTGCAAGAATGTAAAGGAAAACCATTTTCATGATTTCTGTTTCGAAAAAATCAATGAACATTCGAAAGTACTGGAACGAGCGGATAAGTACTTTAATCTTTCAATGTCTCTATTTAACACATAGTTGTGAAATGTAAAAATTGGAGGGACATGCTCAAATAAAGAATTGTCGTGTGCAGAACCTAGCTGTGCAATAATGTATTATTTGGGAGAATTTTTGTTGTTTTTCAAGTTTTGAAGTTTTTGATTTTTTTTTCAATTAATTATTCTATTATTCTCGATTTACTCACTTAGCAATATTTTTTGCAGAAACCAGTTTTTCTTGCTCTGTCATATAGCTCCCCACGCATAGATTAAGTGCTCACCATGGCGCAAGAACCGTCATAAGCGCATATTGCCAAGGCCAGAGACGGGATAGCGGGGGTGGGAGGGGGGGGGGGGGGGGGGAGGGAGTGCTCAGACTGTGATTTTCTTAGTGATATCTCTAAGTTTTGGAATTGCTGTGGATACTAGGCCAAGGAACGCAAAAAAAAACATTGATAAAGGAGATTTCTTGTCAAGATTAAAACAAAAAAAAGTCATGTGGGATAATGGGATAGTGCATTAGAGAAAAAACGTATTGGGCCTAAGTAAATCTAATTCTCTTCTCCCCCCCCCCCCCCCACCTCCTCCTAATGATAATCAGTTTTCTTACCTCGTTTCCTAACACTATCTCCTCCTGACTTTCCGTTGACCTCAGTCTAGCAGAAGATACCTTTAGGCTTAGGCCAATTAGGAACGTTTTACCATCAAGAAAGAGGGAATGTAGGGAAATTAGCGGAGAAAGACGGGGGGGGGGGGGGGGGAGAGGGGAGTTCCCGAGGTATGACTGTTTACCGGGGATAATAATATGTCGGTTCTGAGCGGTGGCTGTGCCAAGGTTGCGACCTCAACGCAACCTCGAAGCAACCTCTTCCTTTTATGGCGAGATCGTTTACGAGATAGGGTAAACAGTGAAAGTCAGAGAGAAGAAAAAATCCCCCCCCCTTTCTACAATTTTTCCGAGCTCCTAGGACGCTGAATTTTTTTGGAAATTTTCATGCATTCTATAAGTGCAAATAAAACAGGTCAATGGCTATGCATCATTACCTTTCTAAATTGCCCGAATGAAATTTCTTTACGGTCAGCTGTCGTCCACAAATTTCCTGAGCATCAATGAATTACGCTATGTGCAATGACGCATTATTACGGACTTTTTTCTCCACGCATTCCTTTAGAATTTGGCACAACAATTTATGAAAAGAACTTGTGCAATTACGGAGCATAAGGCACTCAGACGTTGTCCTTGCCGTTTGTTGTTTTACTAGGTCAACAGGTTCATATCGTGTGGAGCCTGAGTGGCTCGGCTCTAGGTTAGACAAATATCGGAAGTATTTGTATTTTTACAAAAGATAAAAGTGTGCAGAATGGCGTAATTCGGACATGTACTGTATTCGAGAATGAACTCAACGCACTTGCGAAAAAAAATTCTTGCGGTCAGAACGGGAGTACAAAGATGAAAATAGTGCAGAGAACATCGCTCTGAGCAACAAGATTTAAAAAATCTAATTATGGCTACCAAAAACATTTGTTCGAAAAAACGTTTGAAAGAATGGGATGACTGAGGCAATGCAAAGAGGCAGCTAACATTTGTTTTTCTTGTCTTGTCTTTCTTTTTCTTTTGGACACATCTTAAGACTAGTTCTTGCTCTATACATGCGAAAATCGTTCTAAAAAAACTATAAACCTACTCAATGATATGCCAGTATCAAGCTCTGCTTCCTAACTTTCCCTCAAAATTATTGAATCAAACAA